AAAAAAAAAAATCACTGCGAACCAAAACCAAAGGGAGCGTGAAAATTCCACAGGCGTGTGCAGCAACGCGACGGCACCCTCGGTGAGCAGCATCAACAGGATCTTACGCAACCGGGCAGCGGAGCGGGCAGCCGCCGAGTTCGCCAGGGCGGCGGGCTACGGGTTGTACGCGGGCGCGGGCGCCCACCCGTACTTCACCTCGAGCGCCCAGCAACAACAACAATCCCAGTCTCAGCCGCAGAGCTCGCAACAGCCGACGTCGGTGGCACAGCAACAGTCTGCATGGCCGGGGGCTGCGGGTCCGGCCCACCCGTGGCTCTTCCCCGGGGGCCTGCCGGCCGGCATCGCGGGCCCCGCCTCGGCCCTGCTACTCCAGCCACCCCTGACGTCGGCCGCCGCGGCTGCCGCAGCTGCAGCCGCGGCGGCGGCGGCCAGTCCCGAGCACGCGCTCCACGCGGTGGACGCCATAGCCAGGGGCTACCTCCATCAAGGTAACTTTTTTCCCTTTTTTTTTTCGTTATCACCCCGCGTCTCGAGGATCATTTTCGAGGTGTTGTTCGTTGGTCTGTCGGTAGACATGGACGGGGAGGACGGCAGCCTCGACGGCTCGGAGCAGCCCAAGTTCCGGCGCAACCGCACGACCTTCAGCCCGGAGCAGCTGGAGGAGCTCGAGAAGGAGTTTGAGCGCTCGCACTACCCCTGCGTGTCGACCCGCGAACGGCTCGCGTCGAAGACGTCCCTCTCGGAGGCTAGAGTCCAGGTGAGTTGTGCGCATAAATTATCGCGCAAGCATACCTTGGAGTCACGGCCGATCCCCCGAGTATACACCTACAGTGTCACCTTCCTAGAACCGCAAGAACTCGATTTTTTTTCCACGAGGATTGGGTGTGATATTCGGGGGGGGGGGGGGATGAGGCTAGACGCGGTCAAGGCTCACTTTCGGTGGAGCTTTGGAACAACGCGAATTTCGGAATATATTATCGCGGTGCAAGCCAAAGTTTGTCCGCGTGTACATGTAGCACCCGTAATCTTATACTTCGGGAGCACCTTATCGGTAATTCCGTAGGTGTTGAGGGGGGAAAAAAAGGGGGCAGGGATGCCTGCTTTTTGGCACAGCACTGGTATACAATGCGATGTACACCTACGTAAAAGTTTCGAGTTTCCTAACACCAAAGTCAATCTTCTCTCGCAACTTCAGTGACCTTTTGGCTCTGCTCTGCTCGTCGGAGCGTGTGCCTCTCGTTCGTATAGCTCGTGTTTCTCTTCCTTTTTTTTTTTTTTTTTTTTTTTTTTTTTTTTTTTTTTTTTTTTTTNAAGTAAGAGAGGAAAAGGGAGGCAGAAAAAGAGAGATGCTCGCGTGCGAAAGCCATAAATTTTCGAGAGCCAAGAGAGCGGGACGCCTCTGTTTTTTCTCCTTCCCTCTTTCTTTTTTTCTTTTTTTTTTTTTCTTTTCTTCTTCCATGCGCACAGGTATATATATACCTGTACAGGGATCTTTTTTTTTTTTACATTTATCTTTTACAGACGTTTCTTTGGCTCTTTCGACCTCCTTTTTACTTAATACATTGCATCCACACACACACACACACACACATCCACGTAAAAACGCTCTCTTTCTCCCCGATACTACGAAAAAATATTGCCTAATTATCGTCCCGCTGATTTTTTTTTTTTTTTCCTTCTTCCCTTCTCCCTTATCCCTATGTACAGCAGGCAGGCGAAAGTGTCTATACAAGCGCCCCCCGAGACAACGTGCCCCGATAGCGGTGCTCGGCTTCCTCCTACCCTTTGAAATTCGGTAACGATACCAAGATACACGGTAAGTGTATTTACTCACGTGGTGGTGGCACGCGCACCCCACGAGCATCCAACATAATTTACTTATACGTTCCGAGAAATCCCGTAAAGTATAAATATTCGCACGACGGAGCCACAGAGGGTATACTTATTTCTTAGTGGATCTTTCAACGGCAGGTTGTGTAATATACGGTTTGATGACATTGGCAGTTTCCATTCAACCCCACCCTGTGCAGCACGTGTGAGGGGAAAAAAAAAAAGTTGGTTTAAAATCATGTTTGGACAAAGGGCCCGATGTTTTGACTCGATACGCCAACTTGTATTATATTATATATTAAGTACAACGCGCGAAGAAATTCAAAGACAACACGACAACGCGCGTCGATGTGTACACATATATACATATATACCTCCTACTTGTACCAACTTGGCTCTCATCTTCTTACATTGCTTTACCCTGTGCACACACTTCTACCTCGAAATTGGATGATTTTTCGACCAAAGTGGAATCGAAACTGACAATGCGGGGAAAAAAGTTGGTACTCGTATCGTTTAGTTGCGGTGTGTGTGTATGTATTATATGTATACGGAAAAGGGCTCCCATGCGCTTACCGTACACGAGCAATTCTTTGGTTTTCCGGCATTATTTTTCATTGTAACTTTTTTTTTCTTTTTTTTTCTTTTTTTTTTAGCCAATCGGTCCGACGTGCGGGAAGTAAGCAAAACGATTCGAGTGCGCGGCTATCACCCGTCCGATCGGGAAATTGCTTATAATTGACCATGGGCGCACGGTACGCGGAACCGGTTACAATTATCATCGAGGAGGGTGCATTAGCGCTAACTAGTGTTGCCGAGGAGCTCGAAGAAGCAAAGACTGTCTTTTATTTTCCTAGTGCGCGGATGTACTCTCGGTGCAGGAAAAGACTAAGGTGATCACGGTGGGGGGAGAGGGGGGGTGGCGAAAAATTATTATTATTATTATTATTATTATTATTATTATTATTATTAT